AAAAAAAAAAAAAAAAAAACTTAGAAGTGGAAAGAAATATTCACAATTAACAGTAACACAAGACATGAAGTGCTACATAAAATAATATCCACAAAGACATCAACATTTTATTTTCTTCACTGCTGAACTCCGATTTCCTACAATAGTGCTTGCCACTTCATAGACCCTTATAAGTTTCTGTTCAATGATAAATGAATTGATAAAAACTTCTAAAAAATTTCAGCCAAAGGAGGAATCACACCTAGCTATGGCTAAAGATAGCTTTTTAGTTGGGTCCTGAAAGATTTCTACAAATTGAAAAGAGAGAAGGGGATTTTAAGCAAAAGAACAGTGACACATCCAGACACTTGTGATTCCTATTTCCTGGTTGGGAACAGAGGCACCTTATAGTGGGAGATCAGACTGGGAATGTTGGTTTAAGGGAAGACGATATAGGACTCCAGCACAGGCTGAACACAATGGCCAAGACACAAAGCGCCACTTTCCCAGCTCCTTCCATGATTGTGAGGGTCTGGGAATCCCTTGCCCCATAAACACTCATGGTGGCTCAGCCTCCCTGATACAAAGGATGTAGAAAGCAGGAGACATGGAAGATGGAAAAATTAGTTCTTGTGGTTTCTGTAAAAGAGGTAGGAGGGAGTTAGTAAAAAGACCTTAGCAAGAGAGCAGTAGAAACAGAAAGAAAAGAATGACTGCAAAAGATCCTTCAAAGGTAAACAGACAGGGCATAGTGGGCATTAGATAGGAAAGCAAATGAAGAGTCCAAGATGACTCCAAGGGTTCTATCCTCAGTAAATGATGGCATCACTGAGAGACATGGCAAAATCAGGAGTTCATAAGGATGAGTTTGTCTTAATGACTCTGATATCTCACAGGGCCATGAGTGGAGATGCTGAAAAAGTAATTGAAAAGACAGGACTTTCTGGAAAGAAAGAGGAAGGGTTAGATGTAGGAGTCATCCATAGATGAGAGTGTTCAAATAGAAGTCGATTAGCTAGCCAAAGGAAAAGAACACTAAGTAGGAAGCTTTGAAAAAATGCTGCATTTGGGAGATGAGAAAGAGCAGTATTGTAAGGAGACAGATAAGACACAAAAGAGGCAGAAAGATAGAGTGTCACACTGTCAAATGAACTGAGAAGTGAGTTATAAAAAGATGAGGTGGTCAATAATAATGATGGTAATCATGAAAGAAATGACAGCCACAAACATTAATGTTTCCTGGTGAGATGCCATATTGCAACTATTACCTCAATTAATTCTAACACATCTTCTGGGACAGTACTAACGTCATTCCCACTTTACAGATGAAGACACTGAGGCTGAAAGAGATTAGTAAATGACTAACCTAAGTTCAACACACAGGGAATAGCAGAACCTGGATTTAAACCTGGCTTCATCTGATTTGAGAGTCCAAGTTCCTAACTACTCTACTATCTCCTTTCATCAAAAGATGAATGAGAAAAAGTCCCCTAGACTTGGTGATGAAGTGACCATTGAGAGAGCCATTTCAATACATATATTGGTACAGAGGCCATGTTTCAAAAGGTTACAAAGTGAGTGGATAGCAACTGTGGTAATGACTCAAGTATAAAAATCTGCATATGAAAGAAAGGAAAGAGAATATGTTGAGTAAATAGCTCTAAGCAGTAAACTGCCTTTTTTCTTTTATTTTTTGGGTGAGAAGACTAAAGAGGTCTGGTAAATGACAGGCAACTCTGGGCCTGTTTTTGTAAGTGTGGCTTTATCATAACAGCCATGCTCATTCATTTACATCTGTCTATGGCTGCCTTCACTCTGCAAGAGCAGAGCTGAGTAGTTTCAACAGAGACCCTATGCGATCCAAAGCCTAAAACATTTACTCTATGGCTTTTTACACAAAAGGTTTGCTGACTCCTGATTAAGAGGCTTTATCAAATGGAAAAGAAAGGATCAAAAGCAGAGGTAGAAGGTTGAGTCTTATAAAAATCTTTCCAAATCAAAGTCAACAGACAAAAAATATGTGAACAGTTATGAGACTAATGTTTCATGAAAGCATATTACACATTAATGCCTCAGTGTCACCTGAGAATGATGAATGGCTATGGAATTACAGGGATATTAGTCACAGAGGGTCTATTCTTTCGATATTCAGATTTTTGGAAACTTGAAGGTAAATCCCTCCTCAAGTGACTGAAATGATTAAAGTCTGAAAACTGCTAATCATAATGTCCTAAGAAATTCCCAAAGTGAAATGGTGGCAATATACCTACTATAAAGACTCAAATAATTCAGAATAATGCCATCTATGCAGAATTAAACATCTACATACCCCTCCTGTGTATAATTTTCTCCCAATTGATGAAATGTACTTTTAAGAATGAGCATTGCAGGTTGCTGCAGTAATTTTTCTGGATGAGCAAAATCCCCTTTGAATTAGGAAAAAAGTTGGAAACATACCGTATTAGGAAAAAAAGGCTGCATTATGGTAGCTCATAAAGGAACACAAAGCAAAGTTTTAATGTAACTCTCATTGCTTTTAATGTTAAACACTAAAACCAGGAAATAACTGTAAACCATAAAGTACTAAGCTAATATTAGTCTCTTGTAGGAAAAGAAATTAGATTTTTAAGGCACTAGTAAGGTCAAAATAATGTTTTCTTTCTCAAAAGTCCTGTTACTTCACTAATATAACTATTTTTTTTTCCTTGACACATACTGGTTTACTTTTTCTTATTTAAAAATACATGTTTACTGTAAAACATTCAAATCATACTGAGAAGTATAAGAGAATAAAAGGTACCTAATCACATCACCTGAGATAACCATCATTAACATTTTGATGAACACCCTTTTACAAATCTCTATACATATCTACGCTGTCATCCAAACTTATTTATTAGGGACACTTTTCTTTTATTCTCTTTTAAGAAAAAGCAACAAAAAAATTAAATGACATCTGCACAAGGTAAAAAAAAAAAAAGTACAAACCATACAAAATTTTCTAAAATGACAAAAATTTCCCTACCAGTCAGTTCCCTTCAATCTGTAGAGATAAAACTTTTGAAAACCTCCTGCTTCTTTATTATTTCTGATGGCTTCCATTTTAAATTTAAATAGTATACTTATTTTTATATTTCTGATTTATGAATTAGAGAAAATACCAGTTGATTCCATGAAAAAAACACTAAAAATTTAGCATATTTATGCCACCATTCAACTTTCTCCCTCTTCAACTCCTAATTGTAGTTTCATTACTTGTACGTTATCAAGATTTTCAACGTTTACATTCTGTTATGTACCAATAATTACGTTTGCCCTTCTTGTCGAAGTTGATATTAAAATTTTAAACCCTCTAAAATGTATTTACAAAATTATGATCATGGGCCCCATAGGGAAAAACATATAATCCTATGTCTCTTAACTCTGCAGTTCAGAGTAGATTGTCCCAAAGTAGCAATTTTTAAAACTTTCTTTCCGCTTTTATAAATTCTACGTTTTCATTTCTGCTACCATTTCCTATTTATACTTCATATACTATACTGTCATGTTTGGGAATTTACTCAAATACCGTTTTTCATATGAGGTACATGGAGATAAAATTTCTGAGTCCATGTATGAAAATCTTTTTATTCTGTCCTTACAACCGATTGATAAAATGGCTAGGTATAGAATTCTTGGTTCAAAATAAATGTTCCTCTGAACTAGGATGGCATTATCTCATCTGCTTCTAGTAATTGGCACCGATGCTAAGAATTGATCCTAGTTAACTTGTAAGATAGCCTAATTTATTCTCTCTAGAACTCAAAATTTTTTTCTTTTTCCTATGTGTTCTGAGATTTCATCAGGATATATCTACCTTGGTGGTCTTTTGCCCATCCATTCTGATCAATTCCAGTGGGTTATATCAACCCCAAGACTTGTGTGAAATGCTTTTCTGTTATTTTCTGCCCCCTAATAGCTCTCATTTTTAATTTTGAAGCCCCTATTAGAAAGCCGTTAGTCATTTTGAATCTATTTGCCATTTCCTTTCTTTTCTCTTATATTTTTCATTGTTTTCCTTTTTTTACCATAGATTTTCTCCACTTTTTCTTCCAGAGGAGCAGCTTAGTTTGTGTCCTATCAGTTTATTTAATTCTGTATTACGGTGTCATATTTTTACTTGCCGAGCATTGTTTCCTATTCTCTGACTACTCCTGTTCATAGCAGCCTATTCTTATTTTGTGGACATAACATTCTCTCTAGTTCCATCATAATTACAGGTTTTATAAAGCCCTCTGCACTGTGAATTACCCGAGCTCAGTTCTTTCTTTGACACACTAATTGTTTTCTTCAAGTATCTTATGACCCTTGGTTTTGGTTACTTTTTTTGAAGGGAAATATTTCACACTTACTATTATTTTGGTTTTTTTGTTTCCCCTTTTTTAAAGTTGGGTAGAAAGAAGAGGAATAAGGTAAAAAAGAAATGCACCTCAATTTCTCATCAGCATGTAAGTATTAATTAATATCCAACAAACTTCTAATTACTCAGAAGAACCTGAGAATTTGTATCCTACTCACAGAAGTGTGAAGGAATAGAAATGAACAGAATGTCTCCAAAATAGCAAATTTGATCAGCCTCAGATTTTATTACCCATCATCAAAAGTTCCTAATATTGTATATAAATCTAAAATGTATCTTACTGGCAATAGTAAAAGGCATAAAATCATCAACAATTAAAAGTGCATATTTAGCACTGGAATTAATCTACATTTTCTTCCCTCTACATGTTCCCTCAAGCTCTCCTTAGATTTGTTGTTATTTTTAGAAGCTAGTCCTTATTGTCCTGTTGAAAATGATTCAAATGCTCAAAGTCCTTTGCCCTCAGAAGGGTCAGGTAATTGTAAAAGGAGAAATTTGCCCACGCTGACTTACCTGCTGGGTGGTGCTGGTGACAATACCCTGCTGTAGGCGGTAAGCCTGCTCTTGAAGGTATTTTCTAGTCTCGTGATTCCGTAGCAGATAGTTTTCTATCTGGAAATTAAGCACATGTATTCCTCATGAACATATTTCAACTCAGCAGAGTATAAAATGGTAAGTGAAACAGTTGCTGAACTTAAAACTAAAGCACTAATACACACATCCTGCCACAGTGCTTTGACCCCACAAAACACATGGGACAGGGAAACTGCCTCTCACTGTGATTTATTATTGGTGTTTTTAGTTAGAATTTAACTTGCTTTCAACTCAAACAAACAAACAAAAAACACCAAAAAAAAAAAAAAAAAGATATTTAACTTGCAGGTAGTTGGAGGAACTGTTCTGTGACGCAGTAATGGTAAAATATAAGCAAGCGTTTAATGGACTGTAGGATCAGAGAACCCACCTCCTGACTTTTCATCACTCTTCAGCACAGAATTGCAATCCTTCTCCCTT